TTCACAGACCCAGGCTTGTATCCAGTCTGGGAGCGCCACCAATGAGAGCGTGGCCCTGGAAAGGCCCATTGTCCCAGGGCAGGGGTGGTGGGCACAGTGCGTGCTGGTGGCTCCCAGGACCCTTCTGTGCGAGGCCCACCCCGGGCCTCCTGAGTCAGGTCTGGAGTGGGCTCACAAACCTGGAGGCTTAAGCCGCCTGGGCTCCTAATACTCGGGCAGCCCGAGCACCAGCAATTAGGGAAAACTTATTAGCTACACGAGAGCGTTTTCATGTTCTCCCGAGGGCAGTGGCTCTTCAACTTGGCTCTCTGGTTCCTTTGAGGATTTCTGTAGAAACTTTGTGCACTATTTAACACACTGTATTTTTACATTTTATATGTTTATATTTTTCTAAGGAAAAGAACCCATCGTTTCCAAGGAGGGACCTTTTCCTCCTCATCCCTTCAGCTGGGAAGGCCCATTAGGTCTGCAGCGCCGCGGGGAGGGGTAGCCAGCAGCTGTTTCTAGCTGAGGAATGAGGTCTTTGGAGACGGGGCGGGGGCTTCCGTGGCTTAGGAACTGGAGGTGCGACTCTGAAGTGCAGGCATTGGAAGAGCCCGGGAGGACAAGGTATTTGGGTCCAACAGGAAGAGGCAGGGAGGGCGGCGGTGGCGGGGTGGTTCCAGCCGACACCAGCCTTCCCCAGAGAACAGGGGGACCAGGACGGGGAGGAGAGAGGTGACAAGGCTGGGTGCTCTGCCTTCTTGGGCAGAGGGGCCTCCGCGGGCCCGTGACGCTGGATTGTTGCTCAGCGCTGGGCCTCCGTGAGCCGGGGGGACCTCACTCACTGCCCTGCACAACTAACGAAGCAGCACGATTAATTAGATTAATGACTGTGCTGTATTCACAGCAGCAGCTGAGGGACATTTTCTATCGCAGCGAGAACCGCTCCTCCCGCCCATCGCTGCTCACTCATTTGTCCCACAGCAGCTACCGGGCTGGACTCGGAGCTGCCCCCAGGCCCTCTGCTCCGGCCACAGTGGACCCTTTGCCCAGCTGCCTCTATCGTCCATCCGTGGCCCCTCCTGTGCCCGCCAACAAATGTGGGGTTGAAACAGGGGGACCACGTGTTTGATGGTTCACCTGTGAGAGGGAGAGGCGGGCTTGTCCCCACACAAGGGCGACAGTCACAGACCTAGATGAGGACGGGGTGAAGGCTGATCCTGCCGTGTGGGGCCCCTGGAGGAGGGGGTGACTCCATGGACGCCTGAAGTGGCATCTCGGTAGATGTCGGAGGCTTCCTCGTCCAGTTTGCTGTCCACGTGTGCAGCGGAGAGGTCGGGCCCGGCCTGGGCTCTGCTGGTGGTGGGCATGGAGCCGGGGATGGATCGTCCCTGCAGAGCTACTAGACTGCGGGGTGCTCTGTGCCTTTGGTCGGTCTGGTTGGCCAGGGCTCCCGCCTGGGAGTCAGCCAGCTCTGGGTGGGCCACGTAGGAAAGGCCGGTCATTCCGGGAGCCCTTCTAGGGCTCCTACTGGGTGCAGAGCTCTTGCTGTGGGGACGGGCTTGGTTGCCAGGACAGGTGTTCACTGAGGCCAACATGTGGGGGAGCCAGAGACAGGGCCTGATGGCCTGGTGGCATTTCGAGGTCAGAGTTCAGCAGGGACCATAACCAGACTCCCCCCCTCCCCCGTAATGAGGGGATGCAGGGTCAGCATGGGACCAAGGAGGGTCAACCTCCTGCTGAAAACAGGGTGGAGCCCTTGCTCATTGGTTAGAGCAGTGGTCAGCAAACTGCGGCTCTCGAGCCACATGCGGCTCTTTGGCCCCTTGAGTGTGGCTCTTCCACAAAATACCGACTTCTGCGCATGGGCCACGAAGTTTCAATCACATTGTACAGTGGGGCCTTGACTTATGAGTATCCCGACTAACGAGTTTTTTGAGATACCAGGTGTCTCTCGGAGGATTTTTTGCATTGAGTTGATGGAGTAATTTGAGTTAACGAACTCCTTAACGAGCTCCTTAACGAGCTTGGTCTCGGAACGAATTAAACTCGTAAGTCAAGGCCCCACTGTACGTGCGTGCCCGCACGTGGTATTTTGTGGAAGAGCCACACTCAAGGGGCCAAAGAGCCGCATGTGGTTCGTGAGCCGCAGTTAGCCGACCACTGGGAGCATCAGCCTGAACACCGAAGGGTCGCAAGTTTGATTCCTGGTCAAGGGCACATACCTGGTCCTGTAGGAGGCAATCTCTCTCTCTCTCTTTCTCTCTCTCTCTCTCTCTCTCTCTCTCTCTCTCTCTCTCCCTCCCTCCCTCCCTCCCTTCCCCCCATCCTCCTTCCACTCTCTCTAAGAACCAATGGAAGAAATATCCTTGAGTGAGGATGAACAAAAAAACAAAAACGCGGGTTAGAGACTGATGCCGATGGGCAGTCCCTCCGGGGAGCGGGCGGGGTAATGAGCCTGTGTCTGAGGAGCGGAGATGAGTGTCTGGACCTGGCGCTGAGGCTCTGCAGAGGCCTGCGTTCCGGTGGCTTCTCTGATGAGCCCTCCGTCTCTGCTGGCCGCAGGGCTCTCCGGGTGGCCTCTGGGGGCCGGGCCATTGATGGCTCCTGGCTCTACAACCCCCCAGGATGCTAGAGAAAGTGGCCATCAGGCCGCCTCTGCCTGCACAGAAGTCCTGCCAGGACCCGCATGAGGTCTATCTCTCGGGAAGGATTGGTCAGGGCATCCCACCGCCTCCCAACGGGCACGAACTGTGGTGCCCCCCAGCACCTCACCCAGACCAAGCCCTTGCTGGTGCCGGGGTGTCCAGGGTGAGAAATTCAACAGGCACCTGCGGGGGCAGCAAAGCCCTTGCAAGGCTGATAGTTCTCCGTTCATGTTTCCGGCTGCATTTACTATAAAAAGGATTCTGCAGTGGCCAGCGGACGGACCGTGTGTGATGAGAGATCTCTGTGCCACTTTGGGCATTCAGCTCAGGAGTTCAGAGAATCGAGCGACACCTACTTATTCATGGGCCAAGGCCTCCCAGCATGTAGTTATACACAATGAAGAGAGGGAAAAGGGTGCTGAGTCCCGCTCCCTTCTTGCAATACATATTCCCCCACAGATTCACAAACAATTAAGTTCCTATCCATTTCAGAAGATGTGTTTTCAATGACTTTCCTTTTTCAGTTTAACAATTACTTCTAAAAACTCTTAGCAACCCTGTTGTTTTCCTCAAGCACATGCTGCATTTTATAGAAAAAATAATAATTGTAAGAATTCTATTTAGAAGACTTTTTAAAAAATCCCTTAGAAACCTTTGGTCACAGGAAATTAAATATTTCTGTTTCAATTTCTAAATATATTTTGTGGCAGAGGAATATGGTGAGGTGAGCAGTAAAAGACTTTCAACCATAAAAATACTTCATTTGTATAAAATCCCACAGGGAAAGGAATGGACGGGGATACAAGTTCAGAGAGGAAAGGAACCGTGTAAACTCTCCACCTGCAAAGAGCAGCGATTGTAATTTTTTTTTTTTTGGACATTTGAGGGGAGGTATTTAATCACTGCTGTGCTCGGAGTCTGTATGCTTTTTTAAAATATTGTGGCAGTTTTATTTTAACACGCAAATGTTTACCCAATCCCAGAAATCACATCTCTCACAAGTTTTAAAATCTAGGTAAAAAATATTAGACATCAACTTAAAAATGCAAGACAACCGTGGCCCGATGGCTCCTCCCGCCCCTGGGCTCCTGGCCCCTCCTGCAGGGCAGCGGGGAGCCAGGACCAGGGGGAAACTGCCTGGGGTTGTTGCTCATGGAGACCACAGGCCTTGTCAGCCTGTCCCTCCAGATTCCAGAACCTGGGCCTCTGGGACAGGCCGGGATCCAGGCCGGGGTGTGCAGGCGAGCTGCACGGTACCTCTGTCTGTGCTGAATTCGACTGCCTGTGGCTGGGGAGGAGGGGCAGATATTGTCTTGGGGGAATGATAAGGGTCAGACGTGCGGTGCAGGGGTCAGAGAGAACCGGCCCAGGCCAGCGCCAGTCGGCAAGGAGGGCGGACCCAGCCCAGCACCCCTTTGGCTGCCTGGTCCCCTGCACCTGTGGGGGCTGTTTCCACAGAGACATGGTTTATTCCACAGAGAGCAGATGTGGCTTCAGAAGGGGAGGCTCCGGTGGAGGCTGGGGAGTTAGCTCCGGTCACTAAAGATGTACTTCAGTTTCTGCTATTTCTACCCCTCGTCCCTGCCCATTCCTCCCTCCCCCCCGCCCCCGGCTTCTCTCTGTTTTGTCCTACCCTATGTACCTTATTGGCCTAAGTGTGGCTGTCCTGGCCCTGTCTTCCTCTCCCCCTTCCCCTCCTCAAGCACTTGAATCTATGGAGGAGGCTGAGGTCTCCCAGAAAGGAGTCCGCCTTCTTCAGGAAGCCCCGGGGCAGGGGTGGTGTAGACCAGGCTTTTGAGGCAAGGGGCCCTGGGATCAAGCCCTCCAAACGAATCCTTTACTCCCCCCGACTGCAGAGGGCGCCCTTGAGTGTGGAGGCGGCAGGCAGGGAGCAGGGCCAACCGCCTCCGGCTGCTGGCAGGAAGGCCCACACCACGAGGG